CAGTTAGTAACTTCTCAAAGCAAGCAGTCCCGCATTTTGGAATGTTTTGTGGAGAACGTAGCAAGCTCTTATTACGACACAAATTCCTGTTACAGCAAATGAAAAACAGTGATATGCTAACAGACAGCTTGCAAGTTTTTAGATCAGTATCTCTCAACCTTAGTCACTTTAAGATGAATGGATTTCAACTCCCAGAATTCTGGGAGTTGAAGTCCACTCATCTTAAAGTGACTAAGGTTGAGAGAGACTGATCTAAAAACTTGCAAGCTGTCTGTTAGCATATCACTGTTTTTCATTTGCTGTAACAGGAATTTGTGTCGTAATGTCTAAGAGCTTGCTACGTTCTCCACAAAACATTCCAAAATGCGGGACTGCTTGCTTTGAGAAGTTACTAACTGCAAAAAGGATGGGAGTGAAGAACTGCCCCACTTAATAAACCTCCAGCAGCTTTTTTTGGGGGGGTGGGGGTTGGAAGAGGGATGATGGCTTTCCCTACAGTTGGCTTTGCACGAATCTGAAACCATAATGAAAGCCAACCGAGAGACGGCATTGACTGAACCCTCAGGAGTCAACTGGGAGATTCACATCTGACTGCTCCAAGTAGTAGCTAAGGAAGAGCAAGACTAGCAGCCTCCTATAATGGGTTTTGCGTGAAGCTACACGTGGTAGAACGCAAGGATGTCTTGACAAACAAATTGTGGAGAAAAAAAATACACACACATCATACCAAGGTTCTCTTCCTATTTTGCAGCCTGTTAGTATGAACATACTAACTTTCTTCTTCTTCTTTTAAACGTGATAGGAAACCAAAATAAATATATATCCTATTGATTTGGCAAATACCATGACAGGGGGGGAAAAAAACCAGAAATTTTATTTGTTTCCATTAATTACATTTAAGATTCTAAGTTGCAGCTTTGTTTTAAATCTAGTATCTTTAGATTTCTTAAGCATACTTAAGTGATGTTACAGAGATACGTGTTTCTGAAATAACCCTCCCACCACCCAGCCGCCCCCAAAAAGAACCCCCGTTATGAGTCACTTAGTAAATAGGCACCACCAACAGTAGAGTCGGGGATTCAGCTTATCCAGTACAGAATGATTTTGCTGTCACCAGTTTAAGTGCCCCTAATTCAACCAACCGGCTTTTGCCTTCTTAGGTCTGATGTGACCAATGCCAGCCCAAATTCTTAAACCTATGGTACTTCTAGACAACGTATGTAAATTTACAGTATACAATTTGGATTCACCATGCATGAATACTTTGTGTGTAACATTTAATAAGCTCAATCTACATCCAGAATAATTTACATGAAAGGACAATATTTATTTTAAACAGAGCTCAATGGGTAACCATGGTATCCGAGTGCATCCAGAGGGAGAGGAAGGGGAGGGAGGGGGTCAGATGTAAATCCAATCAACGGCACTCCCAGACTTTTACTGTTTGATCTACGCTGCCGGTGACCACATAGGGTGCTGTCTTGTGGAAATCTGCAAGGAAGAAGGGGAAAAAGAAAAGAATAAAGCTAGTATGCATAGGGTAATTCTACAGAAACTGAATTTAAAAGATTATGAACTGATATCATTTGGAATGTGATCCAACGCCTCATAGCTGCACGAAATTAAGATTAGGTCAGGCAATTTTTTAAAAGGACTACTGAATGAAATGAAATACTGTCATTTCTTATATAAAACATTAATCAATGTTTAATTACATTAATAACGGGTAACTCCTAAAGCAGGGGTCTCCAACCTTGGCAACTTTAAGACTTGTGGACTCAGGAATTCTGGGAGTTGAAGTCCACATGTCTTAAAGCTTTGCTGACTGAGGAATTTGCTGGCTGTGGAATTCTGGGAGTTGAAGTCCACATGTCTTAAAAGGTTGAGCTACTGTCCCAGAGATATGTCTATGGAGACTCTCAGTCATCCAGGTTCACCGTTGTCCCAAAGGTGCTTTTTCATAAAGCAACTGGACTTTCTTGTTTTTCTTTGAAGATGTTTCGTTTCTCATAAAAGACGTTTCTTTAGCTCTGACTAGAGGGTGAGGAATGGAAAGATTTATATGCCATTTATATTTATGTTCCATTCCCCACCCTCCAGTCAGAGCTTAAGAAACGTCTTTTATGAGAAACGAAACATCTTCAAAGAAAAACAAGAAAGTCCAGTTGCTTTATGAAAAAGCACCTTTGGGACAACG